GGTAATATGTGCCTGGGATTGTTAAAACTGCCTGAACCTTGCTTACTTAAAAAAAAGAATCACTGCAATAATCAACTTTAAATTCTTCCTAAGACAAGTTAAATATCAAACCTTTTTACAGGCAACAGCAAAACATACTTTAACTTATATATTATTTAAAGGTAAATGTTATTCTTATATCAAAGAAAAATCCATTGCTTTGTTTCCCTTGAGTATTAACTGTTCTACCAAACAACTTGAGCAAAATATTACCATACACATGTTCTGTAAAAGAAAATACAAATTTTGATGTACATAAACTATAGCAGCATGCTACAAAACTATCCCAAAACTGCAAACAGAAATTATATATTAGCATCATTCATTCTGTCTTTTTCTGTATTTATCACAATGCTCCATAACATAATCAATGCAAACAATTTAAAGTTATCAATTAATAATTATATATATGTGAAGAACAAACTAATACTTTTCTGATCAATGCATTATTAATGGTGCCAAGTACAGCCATTCATGTATGATAATTAATCAATCTTTCCAAAAGAGGTAAATTTGTATTTTTATGTCATAGCTTTTTTTATCATTAGAACATTCCTACTGAGTGGAAGCAACAACATTAAAAGGCAGGCTACTCTATAGCTCATTTCTATGCAGTAAAAATACCACAGAAATGCTTCATATAAATATAATTTTGTGATTATAATATATAATTATGTATCTGAAAGTTTGATAATTTTTGTGGATTGAAAAGATGTAGTCATTAGCGTATATTGGCAAGCGCTTTGTCTACCTTGTGCTAGCTACAGGAATGCACACTCAAGAAGCAAGAGCCTTTAACAAATACATCCATCTTCATCAACTACATAATGTTTACAGTCTGTACACCTATATGTCAACTAGTTTACATGGTGAAAGACTTGGTAGCAGAGACCTGGCCCCAGTTTCACAAAAATTCTTAAGATTTCTATGAGAGTGCTAGCTGTTACACTGCATCTGATAGGGTAAGATTTGCCCATGTGACCAAGTAACCTTGGCAATTAAGTTGTGAAACCAGGGCCTGTCTTTGGTAACTGCTGGTTTTGACACCCTCCTGCAAAGATGGAGCATGTCAGCTCTGAGAATGAGGTAGATACTATCTTAGATGAAGCAGGCAAATTGCTGTCTAGCTTTACCATTGGAAAACATTTTGATGACATCTCTTAGTTAGACAGGTTTGGCCATTAAGACAATTTGATATAGATTTGTTCATATGACTATTGACCAGCCTAACCAAAAGTGCATTCAGGACAGCAGATGAAGACACCTGCAGATTAAATATGGCCAACCTACTTGAATGCTTGTTGCGTTATCCCGCGGGAATCTATTCAGTGTGTAGTTGTGAATTAAGCAACAAGCTTTTAAGCTGGTTGTCATATGTGATCTGCGGATCTGTTTGTCTGCTGTTCTGAATGCGGACCAAGGCTTTTTACCCCCTCTTTACCACCATGTTTTTCTTAACATGCTCATCAGAAACAAAGTCAGTTTTAGAAAGATTTCAAGTCCAAATTTGTCGAAAGGGACAATGCTCACACTTTGCAAGAGGGTATAACATAATACTGAGATCAATGTGAAATAAATCACATCATTTTTGTTCAATATCTAAGTTGAAAAGTATAAATTATTATTCTTTTTTCTGTCAGTCCAAATGATTACAGGTTTTTCTTCTTTACCGCGATTTTATATACTTGACTATTCTAGTACAGTATGCATGTTTAAAAATTAACCCAAAGAAACAGATATGTTTCATTTAATGCTTCTTTTTCTCAATGGCCAGAGATAAGAGCTCATGAAGACCGACTTCTTCACCTTTAAATTTCATTACCTGCCTGCTTGTCATGTCTTAACTTAAGTGGCATCTGACTGAACTTTAACAAGTCATTCACGGACTTGTTAACTATGTCATACACCCATCCACAGAAGCACAAAATCCATATAACCAATGTATGCATTTTTGTGCTTGGTGCAGTAAACACAAAACAGAGGTGCATACTGGTATATGAAGTAACTGTTAATCAAGGCCTTTTTCACATCGAGGGGAACACTTTAGCAATAATGTCTGTACCAGTGCTCCTTTAGAGATGGACAACATAATAACCTGATTAATAGATAGTTGCTTAAAGGGATAATAACTCTTCGTTTTGGCCAAAAAATGAATTTTCCTGGAGTAAACAACAATTTTCCCATACTTACCAATGGTTAATGAATCCATTTTTACATTCAAATTTAGTCCCTGGTTTTTTTCTAAAAAGTTTGGTTTTTTGTTAAAATCTCTTAAGAGATTTTAACAGAGTATAGCCATCAATGGAGGTCACATGGTCTAAAGACAAGCTCAGATATCAGAATAATAGCTATAACTGCCATTTTTGTGGTACAACATAATATATTATGTTTCTATGAGTTATGCACAATGTTTTTATTGTGAAATATAGATCTCATACGAAGAGTTATTATCCCTTTAAATGGAACCTCCACTACTGTCACTGTAAATTAATTACTAGCAGGAAATCAACTTGTGGAGAACTTGTGAAAGGTGTAGTATAATAACATGTAAGGGACTGTTCAGAACCACTTGATTAAGTTCACAGATCAAACATGCAGTACACTTGACAATGAATTCCCCGTCTCCCACATGTGCTGTCCCTTCAGGGACTAAGCAATTAAATCTGGGCATTCATTCAAAAAGGTTGCACCATATTTGATCCAGGGACTAGTAAGTTTGCAGATCAATATGTTCTGAACAGGCCCTAAGAACCTCTCAAAGACTGTATCACTAAAGTATGCTGCTCCATGTGAAAACAAGGGCCTTATGTGTACTGTAACTCTGATTTTGTAAGTAACATAAATACATTGATTTTAATTTTTACACACTTCCACTACAGTATGATAAATATAATCTTATCACTTGCTATAATTTTTGTAAATAAATTATATTATGCCACACGTCTGAATGAGATTGGTAAGCTTTAAATCCTCTCTATTATTCTTAGTGACAGAACGTAATTTCAGTAACAAAAAATACTGTCAGCCAAATGATATGATTTTGATGCCACAACCACTATCTTTATTGGTTTTATTGATTTAATACCAAAACAGTTATCCCCAGTGGTTTTATTAAATACCACATTAGCTGAAAATGTACGCTCCAGTATTAATTAATGCAATGTTTTTTTTAACCTAGTGAATGAGTAAAAATTGATGCAAAATTTTCGTTGTATTTTTACTTTTCTTGCCCTGTACTAGTACTGTGACTGCTCATAAATTTCAACCAGTCTTATCCAATATTTTCTTTTTTTCCCCAAAGATTTTTTTATTTCGTAATTCAAAAAATGCTTTCTGTATGTACCCAACTGGCTTTCAGAAATTTTGAATCATCTTTTTTACATACTCATATCACTGAAAAAATATTGTTTTGAGGGGGAAAATGAGTCTTTTCAAATTAAGAGAGAAATTATTGTAATAATTTTCAATAGTAAGATTTTGTTCTACTGTTCTTTTTTTTTTCACTTAACTAGACATTATCACAGTGACAGTTTATGTTTCGAATTACTGCATCAAAGTTAATCTGCTGTCGGATATCAGGGGATTAAGTGGTTTACTTTGAAGTGGGGTTGGCTATATTTAGTCGGTGGATCAGTTAGTCCGTGGATCATCTGTTCTGAATGCGACTATAACAGAGCAAAGTACCTGCTAAGCCTGATCGGATATGAAAATACCAGAAATTATTTTCATCAAAAATTTTGAAAAATGCTGGGTTCTCATTCCGAGTGTTGAACCATTGACATTGGCTTACCTACTTCACCATGAGCCATAGGTCATCATTACTATCCTTCTAAACTGGAATGATCAAATACTATCTTTAAAACATGGATTGACTAACTCTTCTACATTTAGTAAAAAGTCCATCTCAGAATGCCCAAAGAAGTGATGTCTCATCACAAAAATGCCTAAAATGGTACCTATGGAATGCAAAGAAAGCAGGAATGTCCAGAAATGACGTCCCAGGGATTTCCTGAAATGGTGTCTGTAGGACGCTGAAAATTATGTCGCTCGAACGTCCTGAAATGGTGTCTCAGGATTGTCCAGAATTGTGTCTCAGGAATGTCCAGTAATTACGTCTCAGGGATGCTCAGAAATAATGTGTCAGAAATGTCCAGAAATGATTGAAGTACTGTTAAATACATATCATGTTTACATCCCCCGTGAAGTTTGTAACTGGTCCAAGTTGTGGTCATCACTAGTTGCTTTAATCATGGTCATGTACTCCTAGCCCACGCAGAAGTTCAGCTGCCTCCTTGTGTGCCTAAGAAACAGAAATAATATCTATTTATTTATCTATTTATTTATGTAACTTAGTGTGTAGTCAGTTGTCTTTGTCCATGATTGCACCTTGTTTGTCGAGGTGAATATCAATTAATCAATCTGAATCTTTACTTTAATCATGCGCAGAATTTCAACAAAAATGTTTTAGTATGACCTAGGGCACAACCTTAAATCAAGATGCTATTTTTCAAAATCTGAATAAAGTATGCCTCAAAATATTATTGTAGAATGAATTTAATTTTGTCTTTAGAAAATCAAACAGACTTACCTTTTCATCATCAACAGTTTTAACTGGAAAACTTTTGACCTTCTTCAGGTGGTAGATGGCCCTGGCATTTTCCTTGAGTCTAACATAGGTCTTCCCTAACATCATTGTATTCATACTGTAGAAACCAGGATCAACTAAATAAAGTTAAACAGATTTATTGTATATACATGCACATATCTAGAGATGTTATGTGACTGTAGCAAAGCACAATTTATTCGGGTTTGGTGTATTTTTAGGTGAAATGGGAGTGCTTTCTCACTGTTAGTATGTCAAATAACACACTTGTACCGTCGCGCAGTATTTACTTTGAACACCTTTTTCATTGATGTTCGAGGTGTTTTGGCATATATCGCTCAGGTGACAGCTTATACTGGTACCAAATATGTTATATCCACAAAATTAAACAGAACACCCCATGCCAGTAATCATCAGCATGCCGCCCCCCC